TATCCTTCAGTTTCTCGGTTTGTGCAGTTTCGTGCGGATGTTTATCGAACATTTCGCGATAGTAGCCAGTCCGCTGCGGAGGCTTACGCGGAAGGGTGCGGAGTGGTCCTGGACGGAGGCTTGTGAGGCCGCGTTTACGGAGTTGAAGCGGATCGTGGGGCTGGATATCACCTTGAAAGACCTCGATTATAGTAGAGGGGGTATTCGTTTGGCGGTCGACTCTAGCGAGTTCGGTGCCGGTGGCGTGCTGTCTCAGGAGGAGGAAGGGAAGGATCGGCCGGTGCTGTACGAGTCCGTTACCTTCACCGAGGTCGAGTCGCGTTACTCTCAACCTAAGCTGGAGTTGTGCGGAGTGACCAAGGTGGTGCGGAGGCTGCAACATCTCCTCTGGGGTGTTTTCTTCGAGTTGTTGGTTGATGCGGAGGCATTGGCGAGGATGATCAATTCTCCATCCCTTCCAAACGCTCCAATGACCAGGTGGGTGGCGTACCTTCAACTCTTCTCCTTTCAGGTGGTTCACGTTCCGGGAAAGGCCTTCACTATGCCGGATGCCTTGAGCCGAATTCCGTTGATGGAAGGGGAGGACCGGTTTGCGGAAGCAGAGGAGCTAGACGTGGAGCGGCGCCTGATCGAAGTGCGGACGGCAGGAGTGGACACTGAAGGTCTTCCTCTTGCCCAGTCAGGTCGGTACTCGGTTATGGTGTACTTCTTGACGCACTTGGCGTACCCGGAAGGTACACCGGATCTGGTGAAGCGGTGGGTACGGCGGAAGAGTGCCAATTTCTTCTTGCAGGGCGGCCAGCTTTGGAGGCGGAGTTTGCCCATCCCACTCGTGGTGGTCACCGCGCGGGTCGACCAGGAGAAGATCCTGAGGAGTCTTCACGAGGACTTGGGTCACAGGGGAGAAGCGGAGACCAGAAAACGAGTGCGGACTCGGTTCTGGTGGCCAGGTTTGGGACGTGCGGTCAAGGACTGGGTGCGGAGTTGCGAGGAGTGTCAGCGGCGGAGCACCTATCTGCAGAAGGAGATCGGCATCCCGACTGGAGAGGATACGCTGTTCAGTCGCGTGTCGGTGGACGTCTGTCACATCAAGGCGGGGAAGTTCAAGTACTTGCTTGTGGCTAGGGACGACTTGTCCGGATGGGCAGAAGCGCGCCCACTGGTGAAGTTGACTTCGGAGAAGGTGTGTCAGTTTTTTGAGGAGGATTGGTTCTCGAGATACGGCTCTATTCGTTTGGTCACAGTAGACGGCGGCGCGGAGTTCAAAGGGCGGCTGAAGGAGCTTGTGGAGTCCTGCGGAGCTAAGTTCGGGAGAGTGACGGAGTATTACCCGGAGGGCGCAGGGGTCATCGAGCGGGGTCATCAGCCTTTGAAGAACGCGTTGGCCAAACTTTGCGGCGAAGATGGGCGGAAGTGGCAGCAGTTCTTGCCGACGGTTCTGTTCGCGGATCGCATCTCGACTAAGCGTGGTACGGGCTGCTCTCCGTATGAGCTGTTGTTTGGCTCTCGACCGGTGCTGCCGGTGGACATCGAACTGCTGACGTTTCTTGGGATCGACTGGTGGAAGGTGAAGTCGGCAGAGGATCTCGTCGAGGCTCGCGCTGAGCAGCTATTGCGGAGGGAATCCCTTATCGCTAAGGCGGCTAAGCGGTTGAAGGAGAGTAGGGCGAAGTCCGTTCGCTACTGGGATCGGAGGTGCGCGAGCCGGCTCAGGGATTCGTTGCGGAAGGGTGACCTCGTGCTGCTCTACAACCGGAGTTTGGAATCTCAGTGGGGCAAGTTGTTTTCTAACCGATGGAACGGCCCGTACAGGGTGGTCAGCCAGTTCCCCGGCGGCAGCTATCAGCTGGAGGAGTTGGACGGCACATGGCTGAAACGACGGGCGGCCGCGGCTCACGTGAAGCGGTTCTACGCTAGGGGTTCCACGTCTTTCGATGAGACGGCAGACACGGACGACGAAGAGGAGGTGGTGAAGATGCCGAGGCAGAGGGGCACTTCAGATGATGAGTCCGACGCGGCGGGAGAGGGAGGTGACGATGCCTCGGCGGCGGACTCGGAGTCTGGGAGTGGTTCTGAAGCGGAGGAGGAGGACGAGGCCTCGGAGCAACCGACGCCGGCGGTTCCGCAACCTCGGCGGAGTAAGAGGCTGAAGGGGACCACTGGGGACAGCGGCCAAGGTCTGGGGCGGAGAGGAGGAGTTAGCGGTAAACGCTAAGCATTTATTGGTGAGGGGGTGCGCTAGCTGGTCTACAGCCGGGTAAACTAGCCACCCCAGGATGTCAGTTACCCTATAGAGATTGCTTTCTGTTTTGTTATCACTTTTCACTGGCTTGTTTTGTGTATTTGTTTGCAGGAGAGGTACGGGGATTTTGTGAGGAAATCCTTCTGGGGCGGACCAGGTACCTCGTGGATCGGAGTGGTTTCTCTAGTTTTAAGCGGTTTGGTTTCTTTCAAAAAAGAAAAAAAAAAAAAAAAAAAAAAAAAAAGAATAAAAAGAATAAAAAGAATAAGTCGGGGACTTGAGTGGTTCTCTTTCTGGGGCGGACCAGGCACTTGGGGAAGACTTCTTTGGCGTAGCCCTTTGGACACGCAAACTCAAGTATAACAGACTGTATTTCAAGCAGAATTACTTAGACTATGTACAAGAGAGCAGCGGGGAGGAAGGAGGGAAACACTAGGAGGAGCCGGAACCAGGAGCGGGATCGTCGCCATTTCCGTCGGGGTAATTGGCTGAGCGAGGGTTGAAGACGGCCATGACTTGAAGGCGGTGGCGGCGGAGGTCGCGGAGGTCGGAGAGGAAGGCCGCATAGGTGGAGCGGCGGAGTGCAGGAGGGAGAACGGAGGCACTGAGGATCGTCTCGAACCGGCCTTGGATGTCTTCAATGACGGCTTCGACCACGGTCGCAGGGATAGCGTCGAACGCGCTTTCGTCTTCGTCGGGAAAGAGCTCCCGGAGGGCGGAGTCGTCTGAGTCGGACGGGTATCTAGGGTTAGGAACTGAGAGAGGAGGCGTAAGCGGGGAAGGATCACAAATCAGCGAGGAATGCACTTACGACGGAAGTGGCGAGAGGCAGGGAAGGGGTTGGTGCGGGTGGGCGCGAACGGGGGGTTGTTTACTACCGGACGAGGAGTAATCGCGCGGGAGTGACCTGAACCTGGAACCTCAGAAGGCCCTCGCTCGGCAGGCCGGGGAGTGCGTAAGAAGTTGAGGCGTGGAGGGGGAGACGAGTCTGGAGTGGTGCGTTCGGGAGCGTCGCCGACAGAAGGAGGTGGAGTAGGACGGAGGCCTTCCAGCTCGGGTTCGATACGCATCGGACTGTCAGGCGGAGATCGATCCATCGGCGTTGGCGGGCCCGAGGATATCACAATCGGTTCGATATCAATGGTGGTATCGGCTGGAGCCGGGGATCGGACCGGCGCCGGGGAACGCGCGCGCTCAGGAGTGGGTTGTCGGGGCACCACCTGGAGGTCGGCAGCCGGTGCCGAAGGAGGAACGGGAGAGTCCGAAATCCTACGGGGAGAGCGGCGAAGGGGAGAATGGCGGGGAGAGCCCCGAAGAGGACAGCCACGACGTGGGCTAGAGACTGGACGACGTAATCGCTCGTCGTAGAACGGTTGGGTCACATGGTGTCGGCTGGCCCAGCTGCGAAGAGCGGCCCGATACTCGGGGCGGGACGAGAAATCGGACTCGTGAGGTCGGGGCGTCATTCGGTCGGAGCCAGCGGGGGACTCAGGGGAGGATTGTGGAGGTTGAGGAGGTGGTGATGGGGGGCGAGAAGAGGGCGTAGGGGAAGCTGCAGAGACGCTAGCTGAGTCGGGCACGACGAAATTGTCCAAAGAGTTTCCGCGGGTAGCGGTCCGAGGACGCTTGGGAGGTCGAGGACGACCGTGGGAATTAGGACTGTTAGCGCGAGTGCGGCGACGAGATTGGTCGGACGGGTGTTGGACTAGGGAACAGCGACGTTTGGCTTTGCGACAGAAGTCACACGCATGGTTCGAGGACTCGCGGATGCACGTAGCGTTACGGCTTTGACAGTTGGAGCAGGTGGACATGGTGGGAAGACGGGGGAATGGGAAGGAAGTTGGGGAGAAGAGGATCCTGGGGACAGGATTTTAAGCGTTGGGGGGATGTGGTGGCGGGAGCGCGCCTTGGCCAAAGCTTTGGCCGGTTTGTTTGGGGCATGCGGAATGCTCGCGGCGCTGATGCGGAAAGCACGCGGAGCTGACGCTACACAAGCGGGCTGAGGAAAGCGGCCGTGCATTAGTGGAAAGTCTAGCTTTCCGAGGCGCGGGAAAGCGGAGAAAGATAGACCGAATGCACAAGGTTCTGAAAAGCTTACTGCGGGGAATTCGGGCATCGGCGGACGCCGGGGATCACGGCCGACTGCGGAACGGGGGTTCAGTGTATACTGCGGAGAGGCTACAAAGAGCGGGGAGCACCGAGGGGCAGAAGCGGGGTTCGGAGCGGACCAGAGGCAGAAGCGGCGGTGGGAGACCTGCTTAGGAGCGGCCGGAGGAGTACTTGGACCGACAGGCGTCGGAGGGGTGACATGCGGAGTCCGAGGGGGTGACAGCGGATGACATCGCGGGAAGTAGGAAGGGACTGGAGTGTGGGATACCTAGGAGGAGAGGAGTTCGAGGCAGAAGAGGAGAGAGAGGGGGGGGAGGAGGACTCAGAACATATCAGAAAAACAGAGTGACTTAGGAGTGAATCGTGTATTAGCCTAAAGAATTGTTAGAGATAGAGTAGAGTTAGTGTATTACCTACAAAAGATCAATAAAAGAGAACTAGTTTACCTACCTACAAGACCATCAAGCAAGTTACCCCGGACAACAAAACCGGAGTAGGACGCGTTGCGGAGCGGAGAAGTGCAAGAAAACTCCTAGGGCGCGCCGTGCTTTCCACAGCGTCTGGATGATATTTGTTTTGGTGATTTAAAATAGTGTAAGGAGCGAAAATAAATAAATATGATGATGATAGGTCAGATATTCAATGTACGCTAGATGAGGCGCCAGAAAGTGGAGAGCTTGAGACTCAGATCGCAAGACAAACAGTTGTGGGCCATATGGAAGTCATTTAGTGCGTTCTTATAGAGCCTCCAGCTTTCCTCCCAGTTCTGTTTGTTCTCCTCATCGATAGCCAGTAAACTTGTTTTGACTGCATTCTAATTCACGAGGCAATTAAAACGAAAGGCAAGTAGTTTTCCTCAGTACTCCTATAAAATCGTTCGAGGTTCATCGGAAAAGTAGAACTGTTAACAGCAAGGCTGGACTCACCTCCAAGAAATGAGGTTCTGATTCAATCTTGGTTATACTGGTTTTGTTTCTGTATCCTGTTTTATGTCGATACATGAATTGACGTAGTTGATCGTTGGTATGCTGTCTCCTCACCTGATGTCAACGGGGTGAACTCACCTGAGGCAAAACCTATCCCCCTACCCAACCGTAAAGTTCATAACCCAACAAACCCCCCCCCAAACCTTTACAAACTCTGCGCTTGAAGTCCCTTGTCTGCTCGCGACCCGACCGGCCAAGTCCCTTACACATTTCCGCTTACCGGCCGACACACCTCGTTACCCTCACCCGACACACACATGTTACACCTCACCCGCCATCAACATCATCAGAACCCACCCGCCATCACCAGCACCATCAACCGTTCTTAGCATTACAAATCCATCGCTCGTCAATGCTATCCTGCACTTTCCCCCTCCATCGAAATGTATTCAAACGATCCGCCGAACAACTCGATTTACAACCGAATCTCATCGTATGTGTATTTCAACTGCGCGGCACAAATGGAAAACTCTAGACGGAATCACCAGAGTTTCAATCGGACCTCGTCGTTGGCGGACGAGGTCGCTCCGCTCAATCGTTGTTGGCGGACCTCAATCGCCCCGCTCAATTGTTGTCGGCGGACTTCAATCGCTCCGCTGCATTGTTGTCGGCGGACTTCAATCGATCTGCTCCATCGTCGTTGGCGGACTTTAATCAATCTGCTCCAATATTCCTCACTTTCTCAAGTCTCACATGGGTTTGGTGTTCTTTTTTTCTTCCTCGATTACATGCTTATTTATTACAGTCAATGCATTTGAATGAAACTACCCTACTACTACACTGCTATTAAAAAAAAAGTTTAGGATGTCATATCAGAAGGGGGTTTGCCATAATCTAAAATTAAAACATCCCTGTATTCAGTCATTAGATCAAAGAGTAATGGTGTGTGGAATAAATTATCAATGGTAGTATGGCAAGCAGGCATTGAATGCAGTTACTGGTAATCAACTGTATAGTACCATTCTTGTAATAGTTATTTATTGGTTGACTCAAGAAAAACAAATGAGACCAAAAGTGTGATAGGTGGCAAACAGACTTGGATGATAACTTTCCTCTTACTGGGTACTATGATGCCATAATTTGGAAGTTCAAAACAATAATTGAAGGTATTAACTGTGAGAAAAATGGAAACTGTGATGGTGAAATCAGAAATCCTTTCAGAATAATCAGCTTAATAAATGTGGGCTGTACTGGATTTTGGCCAAAAGGTAGTTAGTGAAGTTACTTTGTTTTGTTTATGTACAATTGTTTATTAACTTGGTAGTTTGAAAAATGTTCCTTTGGAACTACCAAGTTTTAAATCCTTGGACCTTTTTGAATGATTATTTAGGGAGATGTGGTTTTGACAGGATTTTGGTGAAAAGAGAGTTAGTATTAAAATGGACTTTGGTTATATGGTTTTGCTGAGATGAATTTCCAAGCCTTTAACTGACAGGGTGGATAATGATTCATCAATGTTGAATAAAAAATGAAAGAATGTGTAGTTCTTTGTGATGTGAGGTGACGGGGGCGCAGACAAGTCCCCGCTGTCCATGGCCACCAGGCACCAAGGCATAGAGCTGCCCCTGACTGCCCTGTTGAGCACTGACGGGGGCCGTTCCCTGCCGCCTCATGCTGCAGTCCCCCCCTTGACAGTGTCACCTTTAAAGAAAGGAATCGCTCAACTAGTCCGCACTCACCTGCTTGTCAATACTCCCAGCTCTACGCAAAGTGCCAAACTTGCCTCTCCTCCATCCGGTTACCTTTGAAGGACGGCACGGCAGTACCAGAAATTACGGTGAAGCAAGACGTAGTAGTAGAGCAATGCTATAGCATAGTCAGATCTCATGGAGAGACCGGTTGGAAGGATAATCATTACACACCGGGAGGTTCACATGCAAGTTACAATCCTGACACAGGTGCCAAGAAACTGGAGCTATTTAGATTGAACTCAGTTCCAAATCATCACTGCAACAATTGTCAACAAACTCACTTCAATCAATATAACAATACCGGTTATGGCCTCAGTAACCATCAAGAGAGGAGAAGAGATTTGCAAAGAAGTTGTTACAGAGGCAACACGATGCAAGTAAATTTTCCCAACAGTTATAACTATAATACCAATTACAATAACACCTATCATTCGCAAGCACCTCAACACCATTCAAACTTCATCAATAACTACAATAACAATCACCCTTCATATGGTGGTGGCTACTATCAACCTACTGGGGATGGTAGAAAAAGATTTAGAAGCTCTGGAAATAAGTTAGAAGCAAATGAAAAGCCTTTGGCCGGCATGGCTAGTGGTAGCAAACCGTATCAAAATAGAGATGTTTTTCTTTTTTAAGCGTGTATGTACACAGGAGATGATTGGTTTTTTGTTTTGTTTCCAACATTGTTTCTAGTTCAATCTGTGTTGAAAAATTCACTTGGCCGGTAAAAGTATCATGTGAAATGAATCTTAATTATTGGAGAAATGCCTTAGATAGAGCTGGTTTGTTACCAGAGATGCTCCATATCCTTGAAGGATTCACAATCAGTTTTGATCAAGGGATTCCTGATCACAAAGTTGGTAACCAGAGGTGGTTTACACCTGATAATCACTCTTTGGTGATCAATGCAGAAGACAAAATTCAAAAATCAATAAAAGAAGAAGTAGAGGCAGGGAGAATGTTTGGCCCATTCTCACACAAAGAAGTCGCTAAACATTAGGAATTTTTTAGGACCAGTCCTTTAGGTTCGGAAGTAAACGCAGACGGGAAGATGTGTCCTATCAATAATCTATTCTTCCCAAGGAAAGACAGCAAATTAAAATCAGTGAACTCCTATGTAAATAAGTTGGACTTCACTACTACATGGGACGACTTCAAGATCGTATCAACTTTCTTTAGGACATATTCCGAAATGTTTGACCTCTCCCTCTTTGATTGGGCAAAAGCTTGTTGAAAAATTCCAACCAGAGAATCACAATGGAAGTACCTGATATTTAAAGACCTTCACGGAGGGCTCTATGGCGACACCAGGATCACCTTTGGAGGTGTTGCTGGATGCGGATCTTTTGGTTTGCCAGCTGATGCTTGGAAACAAATTATGAAATCAGAATTTGACTTCGTCAAAATATTTTGATGGGTAGATGATAATCTTTTTATCAAGTGTAAAAGTTTGACCTGCGGCATGAAAACCATAGCTGAGAGGTCAGTAATACTGGGAGTTGCAACAAGCGTTGAAAAGTGCACGGAATTCACCAAAGAACAGAAGTTCATAGGATTTATACGGAACAGGGCTTCCAAGTTGGTTCAGTTACCTGTTACCAAATTAGAAAAACAGAAAGAACAGATCAAAGAATTTTTACAACCGAAGAAAGAATTCAAGTTTACAGAAGTCGAAATTTTGGCAGGGAGACTTAATCACGTATTGTTAATCCTTCCTCAACTGAGATGTTATTCTAGAAGTATCTAAAGGTGGATGAATGAATGGAAAAAGAAATGGGAAACACGGGCGGTACCCGAAGACGTAATAGAAGACCTGTCGTTTTGGTTAACAACCCTGAACGACTATTCGAGTACCAGGCTGTGCCCTTTGGTAGACCCTACCAAGATAAATTGGGTAGGCAACGTGTCGACAGGGTTCGGAATAGGGGCTCTCATTGGAAGACGGTGGTCTCAACTTTGCCTGAAAGAAGATTGGTCGGACACGGATCAAAAAAGAACAATCACGTGGCTGGAAACAGTAGCCATCTGGGTAGGATCCTAATGTTGTTGTCCATAGGCACGGACATGAAGGGTCGAAACTTCATAGTTTGGACGGATAATAAAACGACAGAGAGCGCACTCCGTTCGAGAAAATCAAAAGATTTCCATTCAAACAATGAGTGGAAGCAAATTCAAAAATTACTGATACTGGAAGATCTAGACATCACCCCTTTGAGGGTGTCCTTGGCTGAAAATATCTCCAACGGCTTATCAAGAGGGGTCCAAAGACCCCATATAGCGGAAAACAGGGTCTGGTTGAACATCCCAGATGACCTGTCCACATTTATGATCCATGCATAGTTTTCAGTTTTCCAATTGGCCATAAATAGACAATTTCTATTGATCAAATCTCATTTTTGTACTCTTTGTCATCATTGTCACTATTTTTTTGTTGCACAAGCCTTCACAATAGGGGGTATCAAAAACAGGCTGAACATTATCCCGTTTAATAAAATAAGTGAATTTCTCCGGAACGGGACGTAAGTCCAATCCCCTTCCAACATCAACTTGCACATCCTATCAGGGTGACAAGTATCAACACTCAAAAGCTATAACAGCGCGGTGATTAAATATTTGTGGTTTACGGTGGTGACGGGGTGACACATTTTTATCTTACCGATCTTTCCAGACAACGTTGAGAATTTCTGCTTGTGGGCAGGGTGAAGCCTTTTCTCCCAAGACGCAATGAAGATTTCAGTGTGCTCTATCAAAAAGGATCTTGCAGGCCTGCGAGCGTGGCACGTGTTTCATAATGAAAAGTTCCCTGACATCAACAAAGCCAGGATCTACTACTAAAGGCATCGGCTAAAGAAGATGAATTAGTCGGCAAACAAGCTAGAAAGCTACCAATGATGCTATGGCATATGACCCATCTGTGGAAAGAACTTTCCCACGGGTCTCAATTTGACAAAGCGGTGCTAGACATGTCCATCATGTCTTTTTGGGGTCTATCTAGGCTCTCAGAGCTATCTTATGATTCTGAACTCGGCCCTATTAGCTTTGCTTCCTCCGTTCTCATTTCAGACGTAATTTTCAACACCGAAAACAACAGTTTTGCCTCAATCACAATAAGGAACGCAAAGAAGGGCGCCCCGGGGAAACCTCAGTTAATCACACTTAGAGAACAGAGCCACGTTCTGTGTCCCATCCTAGCACTGAAGCGACGGCTGTCTTTGGTGTTGGGCGCCAAGACAACTCTGTTTGGTTTTACAGAGGGCGGGATACGCCACCATCTCACTAGGAGGAAAGCAGTAGCCTGTGTCAACAGTGGGCCAGTTACACTAACCGTAGTGTTAGTGTAGCGCAGTGTTAGCTTTTTAAGCTACACTACACAAAAGTTACCATTAGCGGGAATTTTTGGCCCACTAACACTACAGGATTTTTGAAAAACCAAAAAAAAACTTTAGCTTAGTGTTAGCTACCTTTAAAAAAGCACAACTAACACTACCCAAAATACGGTTAGTGAAATTTTAGTGATGTTAGTGGGTGAACCCACTACACTACATGTTAGTGTAAATTTTTGAAAGTTACACTAAAAGTTAGTGTAGTGGTACCCTCAGTTACACTAACTGTTAGCATAACTGGTGAAATGGTTACACTAACTGTTAGCGTAACTGATTAAAATTTACATGACCACATGACTAGCATTAGCCTACCCTGAAGACAGTGCCTGGTTGGGGGGCCTACATCCAGATCCCCTCAATTGATCATCATTTTTTTCAGTTGGTAATGGGGGCCACTCAATTTTAGCCCCCTGCCAATTTTTAACACTTACTTGTAAGACCACATTCCCCTGTCAGACTACCTTGAGATTATGGGTTCAATTCCCCCTCAGATCATACTTTACTGGGTTCTATTCCCACACTTGTTCAATTTCCACTTTCACATCATGTAGCAAGGGGGGGGGGGGTCACCCATGGCGACACCTATTCAACTACTGGATAGTATCCACTGAGACACAGAAGGACCTATACAGTAGTAGCTCCGCGCTCTCAGTTTCTCTCATCTTTTCTCGAGGCTTCTCAGAAATCTCAGTGCTGAAAACTCACCTGAGCGCGACTTGAAGCTTGGATTGGCATTCAAGACCAACCCCTGTTCGATTCCCCTCCTCTCCCAAATAAGGGAACCATAATTCCACCTGAGCTGGTATTATCCTCTCGGGAGTCAGGACTGCTCTGCTGGGCCACTTGCTTCTTCCAACACCTCCTGGTGTCCTGGTATTTTCAAACTCAACGTTCACAATACAACCAACTAAAAAATCACCAAAATGTCATATTCACCGCTCAACAACAATGTCAATCCCAGGCAACAAGTCAACCTTCATCAACATGGTCAATATCCTTCACTGTCGAACTTGGTACCTGACACTAACCAGAATCAACAGCAATTCATTCAATTAAATGGCCACTATGGTCAGCACAGCAACCAATCAATTTACGACTTTGGCGACGACGGACTCCAGTTGCTGCCATCTGAGCAAATCTATGTCCTCCCAAATTTGCAACAACCAACTGTCGTGCAATTTAGTCAAAGTCAACAGACCACATCCAGTTCTTCCAACAGAGCGTACATTCCTCAATCCGCACCAACACAAGGGTATTTCGAAACCTCAACATCAAAGCAGCCAACTTACACCCCACTCGGAACTCAACACTCCCCAGAAGCACAGCCAACTCCTCATCAGGGCCACCCACAACAGAACCCAGCCCCAGTCCCCACACCCCTACCTCCAGTCAAGCCTGTGAAGAAACCACGTAAGAAAACCATACGTCAGTATGCAGAGGCCAATCCCAATCCCAACCCAGCACCGGCAGCCACCAGCACTCCACAAACTCCAGCAGCATTGAGCATTGCTACTCCTGCCCCAGATCCCACTACACGAGAATCCGTTGCCCGATTTTTGGCTGTGCCAAACTCAAACACTGTGCCATCTGTGCGAGTGCCCCCAACACTCGAGTCGTACGCTTCTAAAACCATTGACGAACTGCGGGCTATTGCCCTCGCTAAATCTAAAAAGGTGATGACCCGAGATGATGAATTATACTTCTTTCAATACCATGAGCTACAAAAGACTGAGCTTACTCTGGCAGCAATCAACCGTGGTGTATCGATGAGCATGGTAGAAAGTCTAATGTGGGTATTGAATCTCACTTCGCTTCTTCCAACTAGTTTCCTGACTTACTTATCTGTATGTATAGGGGTCGGAAACAAGCTATGCGGGAAGCCTCGGGGTGGAACAACTTTCAGACAAAGAATGGCCACTTATTTGAAGGGAGTAAGTTCTCCTTGCATGTAGTTCTTGTAATTGATCTTACACTCACGTAAACATGTCCCCTCAACTTATAGAAGGCAAGGGTGTAAAAGACTCAGGTGTCATGAAGCTCCTATCTACAAAGTGGAATGGCTTAACACCCGAAGAACGTGCAGCCTACCAGACCAAAAATCTTCCCCACATTGTTGATCAGGACGAGACAACCATGGATGCATCAACTGATGCACCTGATCTTGCAATGGTAACTGGCCTCCGAGCGCACTCCAAATCACTCAAACTAGCTGAGAAACGAGTTGATAACTTCATGACGGAGTGGAACAAAAAGGTAAATCACAATGTAGACTGCTAAGCATGAGATGACTGTATTATGAGGCTAACCAGAGACAACCACGTTCTTAGGCAGTTCACATTGCTGCGAGCAACCACTGTGAACTGGTCATGTTTGCAGTGTCCAATCACCTTCACAGTCACAATTTCCAGCTGGCGCACTCGACGCCTGGGGCCGCCGATTTTGTCAAGCAAATATATGAAGCAGATGGTATCAGAAACTACCAAAGCCGAATCCAGTCTTACTGTACTGGTGCTGAGATTAATTCAATCAGTGCTGCAGTTACAAAAACAAAGAACAAAAAAGGAGTGAATGATAATGTGGTCGCTCAAGCCCGGGCCAAGCTAGCTGAGTTTGTTTGTAAGTGCCTACCATCCCTCAATCTAATCATTGACATAACTTTGACTGAAGCCTTAGACTTGATTAAATACACACATGTCCAGCTCGAGAGACCGGTGGTAGGAAGACTTCTTGGTCGTGGCAGGGTTGTGACAAAGCACTAGGTCGACTTGGATACAAGCTTATCTTCTTACCGGGGGCCCTGTCAAACCCAGATTGGATCAAAAGCCCAAGTAGTCGCTTCCTCAATAACGAAGCGCAGCTAATAATGGATGACATAGACCAAGACCTAATCCGAATTGTGAAGGACACGGACGCCTTGATGGGCCATATTCGTCAACCGGCCGGACCGGTAAAAAGGAAGACATTACATATTTCTTCGCATGAACCAAATAACACCAACAGTACGAATGCCCTTCCAACTTCGTGTTGAGTTTAAACTCGGACATTAAGTATTAATTCATTTAAAGTTCAGTTTTAATTTGCGTCATCCGCGGGCCTCAACTTCCAGTTTTGAACTTCATCGATCATTCGTCATCCCTTCTTTCCCCTTCCTTCGACAATCCGCCGATCTCTTAATCGAATCAAAAATCATCCCGAGGTCAACAAAATCTTGTTCGCTGATCAATCAAATCGAAAACCGGTTTTTAATCATCGTTTACTTCAAGCACTCAGGAGGAGCTAGAATCAGCTGCTGGGCAGGCTGTATTCGCTAAAACATTCCTGTGTGTTAAGAGTTAACGTTGGTATAAATCGTGTTAAGATTTTGTTATATTCTGATTTCATCCATCAGGTATTTATTAATGTTATATTTCATTTATATTGTCATTTGAGTATTCATTCTAACATTGTTTTTTATTCTTTAAGACTATTACTTCTATTGAGTTTTTTATTAATACTGTTTCAAGAAAGCAATTGATTCTACCATTTTTACATGGTAGCGAGAGTCATTGCTTGACAGTAGAAAACTCAAAGTAAGAATAGTCTATAGATTAAAATCAAGCGAACGAGATGGCCGATTCTTCGGTGATTAAAAACGATTCATCGAGCGACGACGATCATCATGAGAAGGTTACGCTTTTGAAACTTCATCGGGACAACTGGACCGAATGGAAGAAGTTCTTTACCAATCTCCTTGTAGGCCGTGGTCATGAAGAGATATTTGATAAAGAATGGTGCAAGACTCATGCCAAAGAAAAAAATTTTCGCAAGAAGTCCGCTCTCGCATTCACTCTACTTCAATCGTGTCTTTCTTCCGACTTGAAGCCTGTCGCCGCTGGTGCCGATTCATTCTCTGAAGCCATGGAAAGTTTGGCTGAAACTTGCGGAGAACAATCGCTTATCAAACTCGGAGACAAATTATTCGCTCTAGTTTCATGCGATTACGTTCCCGGTACCTCAATCGGAGCTCATGTTTCTAAATTTCAAAATCTTTACAACTCTTTGAAATCAGCTGTTGCTGCAACCAACATTACCACCGACTCCGATGATAAAATGAAAAACGACATGAACGTCGGAACGACTATGGCCGGTATCTTTTTCCTCAAAAGTTTTCGGCTCGACGATTCATTGGCATCGCTGATTCAAAATTTATACGATATCCAACCGTTTACATTCGAACGACTGGCTGCTCGCATGAATGTTGAAGATACACGAACGGAGAAAGGTTCAGGTTCATTGAATACGATCTCGTCCTCCAATTCAAAGAATTTTGTTCGACCGAACAAAGATAAATTCAAAGCTCAATCACACGGTTCTAAGTTTCGAAACGTTGTTGTTCCTACTAAAAATCAACCTCGACCGATATCTTCATCATCATCCAACAAAGCCAATATTCAAAAATTGATCAACGATCAAATTCAAACCTTGAAAAAATTACAAGCTCAAGATTTGAATACGATTGATGAATCAGAATCCGAAGATCAGGAAGAACACGCAGGAGCCGTTGTTGATGATCCTAATGATCCTTATGAGACTGATTTCTTCATTGAGGATGAAGAAAACTATCACATTGGATCAAATCCTATGGACAACATTCGGTGTATTCTTGATTCCGGCGCTTCTAAATCAACGGTTTCGGATTCTTGTCTTCTTTTTAATTTGAAACCGATTACAAAGAAGATGAAAACCTATTCTGGATCAATCGATATTACTCATGTCGGTACAATGAAATTTGGTATTTACGATATCATTCCCGTCAACTACGCTCCTGCCGGAAAATGTAATCTAATTTCAATGTCGCAGCTTGAAGATCACGGTTTTCGAATTCAACATAAAAACAAACTGGTCATTGTTTATATGGGATTGACAATAATTGAAAAATTTCCTCGAGTCGGTGATTTATACGTTTCATCTGGATCTAACTCCGATTCCAGCTTTCTTTTCTCTCTGACTGAAAAGGAATCTTTGAAGGACTGGCATATCATTCTTGGTCATCCATCCGACATCTATGTTAATCGATTTCTCGAGTTGATGAAGATTCCTAAGAACGATCATATTGGTTCTTCTTCTCAATGCGAAGTGTGTCGAATATTCTCGCTCAATTTGCTTCAAATCCTACTCAAGCACATTGGTCTATGGTTAAACATTTGATGCGGTATCTATGTGGATCAAAGAGCGTTGGAATAGTTTTCACGAAGGGTCCTTCTGATTCTCTCTGCGGATGGGCCGATGCGGATTACGGTACTTCTCTCGTAACGAAAAATTCCATGTCGGGCTATGTGATTACTTTTCTCGGAAATCCAGTATCATGGACTACGAAGAAGCAGTCTGTTGTGGCGCAATCAACTACTGAAGCTGAATTCATTTCGATCAACAAATGTGCTAAGCAACTTCGATGGATGTCGAATTTGATTACGTCTCTTGGTATAGAAATCGGCATTCCAACAATTTTCAATGATAACTCAGGGGCAGTGGTTATTAGCAAGGAGCCTCAATTGAATCCCAACACCAAACATATTGAAATTCGTTTTCAGTATATTCGACAACTTATGATAAAGAAAGTTATGAAGATTATTCAAGTTTCGACTACGGAAATGATTGCTGATATTCTCACGAAGCCGCTTGGTAAAATCAAGTTAGCTGAAGCGTACAAACAATTACATTTAGTTAATGTGCGTGTTTAGGAGGAGTGTTGAGTTTAAACTCGGACATTAAGTATTAATTCATTTAAAGTTCAGTTTTAATTCGCGTCATCCGCGGGCCTCAACTTCCAGTTTTGAACTTCATCGATCATTCGTCATCCCTTCTTTCCCCTTCCTTCGACAATCCGCCGATCTCTTAATCGAATCAAAAATCATCCCGAGGTCAACAAAATCTTGTTCGCTGATCAATCAAATCGAAAACCGGTTTTTAATCATCGTTTACTTCAAGCACTCAGGAGGAGCTAGAATCAGCTGCTGGGCAGGCTGTATTCGCTAAAACATTCCTGTGTGTTAAGAGTTAACGTTGGTATAAATCGTGTTAAGATTTTGTTATATTCTGATTTCATCCATCAGGTATTTATTAATGTTATATTTCATTTATATTGTCATTTGAGTATTCATTCTAACATTGTTTTTTATTCTTTAAGACTATTACTTCTATTGAGTTTTTTATTAATACTGTTTCAAGAAAGCAATTGATTCTACCATTTTTACACTTCGGCCATAACCAAAAGACGAAAGCAAGTGAACACAAGACCTAAGAAGACCGCTCCCCCAAAAAAAGCTAACCGACGAAAACGATACCCAAGCCTCACACTATCTGAAAAAGCACTTGACACCAGTAGTGATTCGAATTCTCCTTTCCAGCCTCCAGGAGGATTCACATTACCAGAGGACAGTGTTGGAGAGACCGACATCAACAGCGATGAAGAGGAAGTTCTGCCACATCAAGCCAAACAAGGACCGAGTCTTTCTTCTCATCCAAATGACATTCATCAACCAAATGGGGCAGTAGTTCCAGTCAGCCTCTACCTCCAAGCCTGCATTTAATAATTTGTTCTCAGCTGCCTCACCAACATTTTGGCTATGATTCTATGATTTTCTCTGCTTCCTAGTGCTATTTTGTTCTCTGCTTGCTCACTTGTTTGTCTCTTATTTTTTCCCTTATAATCCTCCTGAGATTTCTTTTTGATCACCTATCTTGCTGTTTAAAAATATTCCTTGGAGAGTGTTTGGTTCTGTCTCAACTGGGAATTGAACGTGTGACACGAGAGATTGGGGTCTTATTCCCAAATGAGAGTGCACTTTCATCTGACACTACGGGCAATTAGGTGACGCTCCCGCGCGGAACGTCACCTAACCCAAGGGGGGCCCCTTTGGGTTAGGTGACGCTGCGGGCCGCAGCGACACCTGTTTGCCTGTAGTGTGATGGGTGACCTGGCTGGCATCAGTGTGGTAATGCCTTGTCACCGGCTGTTCACTTCTTGACTAGAGTCTGCTCTTAGCATGGGAATCTGGAGAAGTGTCATGGTCCCTAGCTCGCTGGCTGGGAGTTTTATTTTGCCAAATTTTTCTGCAGGCAAGAGAGAGTCAGTCTGCACAGCATTTTAATGGAGGATTGATTGCTTTAAATCTGGTTCCAAATTCCAATCGATTCTTTTAATAATCAAACCAATTGCTTCATCATACATCAACCATCAATCATGTCGCACCAACAGTTTGGGGACAACTATTCTATTCCTAGCTCCAAGGGTGGCCGAGGCATTCTCAATTGGACCTTGGACCTGGTGCAAAGAGTTGCTGTATTACTGCATGTCAGAGGCTCTTGTGCAGCACCAATGGCCTCTGCTGCTTTATTGAAGTGGTCGATACACCCACCCTGCCACCAGCCTCCACCCCTCTACCTTGACCAAATTTGAATAGTTCCTTCTAGATCCTCTGAGTCACGAGCATCGCGACTACTTTCAGTTTGGCCAGCCTCCATTAATCCCTCCTCCCAGCTCCTCCCCCTCCTGACCGACCACTTTCAACTTGGGAGCAAGCCCGTCTCCTGGCAATGGCAATCATCACTGCAGCTCGCGACTGCTCTGACCTCTCTGTTCTTCCTCCTCCAAGTCGCAAGCATCTCGCCGCCTTGCGACTGCTTTCAGCTCGCGATGCTTCACATCACCCCGCAACCACTTTCTTTCAACTTGGCATCAACACCGACTCCTTCCGTTCGCGATCATCACTGCAGCTCGCGACTGCTGTCAACTCTGTGTTCTTCATCTATCCAGGCTTCTTCCAGTCACAAGCATCACATAACCCTGTGACCGCTTCCAACTTGGAATACTTCATCAACACCTGCCCCTTCCAGTCACAATTATCACTGCAGTTTGCGACCGGTTTTGTATCATTCCCCGGTCTTACTTGTTGATCATGCTACTAGACACTGCTTTCTCATCAATATCTAAAGCAGATGTTGTATCTGATGGTAGCACTTGGCTTTGGATTGAGCCACATGGTCCAATGTCAAGCAAGTGAACCATTGGCATCAGCTTGGCTAAAAAATGTTAAACTGGCAATCTGAACATTGAGGAGTTAGATATAGGACCTTCATAGCATGCAGAATCAATGTTCTGAAGTGCTTGAATGGATTTTAGTGGCCTGTCTTGAGCTGTGAAGAGGGATCAGTAGCCACCACTGATTCCTACTAGGCCTGAAATGTAATTTTTGAGGTGGGCCTGAGCAAAAAGACCAATACAGCAATTTTGAGTGGTTTAATAATGTCCTCCACTCCATATTGTTCCCCAGGATGGAATTATGTATCAAAATCTCAATTGAGCTTGGTAATTCAAATCCCCACCATAGGATGATGTACAATTGTATGAGCTCCTTTGGATTGCCCATATGCCTTGGGTTGAAGTTGAATTGCTCTAAATTGGTATAAGATCATACCTCATTTCTACACAGGTTATAGCAATGAACTTATGCCATTTGGCAGTGATCAAACATTGATTGCCCATGTGAAATTTTGTTCAATCAGATGGATAAACATGTAATTATAAGTGGTTTGGTCTTGATCAATCTAAAGTGGTATGTATGTTTATGTAAGGACTCCGTCGAGTCCTTCACTGTCTGTCGGAGATAGGCACTAGAGATGAGCTCAGTAGCTCCAGATGGGAAGTTTCTAGTACCAACGTGGATTTATTGCATGTCTAGACAGGAGAGAAAGATCTCTCAGTTAGTATTTACAAGTGGAGGAAATGGAGGAAAGAAAATGAGAAGAGAGGGAAAGAAGATAAGGTACTTACCTAGACAGGAGAGAAAGATCTCTGCTGTCTAGGTAATTAAGGGGAAGAGTGAGACTAAATATAACCCGGGATAGGCTTATGTAAGCTTGTGACAGGTTTGTGTAAGCCTGTGAGGAGCAGGGCTTACAGTCTCCCCTCCTATAAAAGAAAATGAAGAAGGGAGAAAATTTAACAATAATTGGGACAGTAAAAATGAGAAAGAAGAAAACAAATAGAAAGTGGTCTGAAATTGTGGGGAAGAATTTGTGAGTGGTGGCTGATTTGAGGAGGAAATCTAGGAGAAGTCAAGAGAGAGAGGAAACATAGGATTATGATTGGGCCAAGGAAAAAAAAGGGAGGGGGAGGTGAGATTTTAATGTAGGGAGTAGAGGGGAAAGAAAAGAAAAGAATAGATGGTGAATGAACTCAAAAGGAAGGTGAAGATATCAAACATAAAATAAGATCGGATTGTTGGGAGTTGAAGTTGGGTTGGCCTTTTTCTTTTTCTTTTTCTTTTTCTTCTTCTTTGTTTCAGTCTCATCTGCATTGGCCTGCTGGAGGTACTCTTGGATGTCATTGTAGTAATCTAGAGTGGCTTGTGAATATTCTGGGGCTATTCGGGCTGTTATAGAATCAATGTCATCATTCTCAATAGTTAGGGATCCTATTGCAGCTATCTCAAGGTTGACAGGACAGGCTGGGGCAGTTGGATAGATTGGGATTGAGCAGTCAGGCAGGGCAGGTAAAGGAAGGGTGGAATTGATTGGAGAAGGAGAGGAAGGAGAATCAGGATGATTGGGTTGAGTCAGAGGCACTGTAGGTGGCTTTGTGTTGTCAACAGTAGAGACCGATGGGGAAGGCAGCTTTGATGTTGGCATTGAGGTTGCACAGTTCTCACATTCTGGGGGTGAGAAACAATCTAAGGGGTGCAGAGGATGATGATTGGTGGTGTCACTGATGCGGTGGGTGGGGTTTGGCTGAGTAGAAGAAGGTGGAGAGAGCTTGGCATTGGTAATTGTGGTGCTGATTGAATGAGGGGAAAGTGAACTTGGAGAAGGATGAGGTGGAGCGAGCTCGGCATCGGAATTTGAAGGTGTTGTCACAGGTATCAGGGTTGCATTTAAGGATTTTTCAGCGGTCTGATTAGCCAATTGGACAACGGCTAGCGATCTGTCCCAGACAGCTTTAGGGTCTTCGATTGGTCGCGAGGTTGTAGATGATGTCGCCGCAATGGCAGTAAAGGAAAGGCTGGCGGCTGCTGAATCAAACAACGTGTCCTGCGGTTTGACAACGGTCGTAGTACTAGGCCCATGAGCGGCAACTATGGGTGAGGAGCTGATTTGAGAGTATGAGTTGGGCAGGGTAGCTGGTTGAGTGGTGATAGTCGTTGAAGGAACCGACAGCGGTGAGTTGATAGTTGAGCAGGTTGGCGATCGCGATGGTAGCAAAGATGAGGTAGAGTTTGAATCCAAGAATTTAGGTAGGGGCAAGGGAGTTGGTGTTGAAGACGGTTGTCCAGAGGGTTCACAGACTGTCAGAGATCCTCCTGGCGACAACACCGGTGATGAAGATCTAGCTGAGTGCGGAGATGAACCCTGGGTGATTGATGGGTAAGTTGATGGCAAGTACGGTGGTGTTGGAGGAGGAGACGGTGTTTCTTCTGGCAAAAACGAGGTGGTATTGGCCGGTCTTTCATCTAAAACCCGCACAGAGGCCAGTGGAGAGTATGGGCTATCAAGATGGGAGTAGCTGGTTGGCTTGTTCGCCGTATCGGAGGTGGGTGACGCTGAGACCCCTGTTGGGTTGACAGTGGCCTGGAGAGGAGGGAGTTTGCTATCGGAATGTGATTTAGAGATCGCCGACGACATCGATGGCAACGACACCGGCAACAATGACACCTTTGAGCATTGGGTGGCAGCTGCTTGAGTTCGAGGGCTTGGGGGCTTGCAAGAAGTTCTGAAGGTATGTCGACGAGGTTGACTGTTCAGGGGGATAAGTCCGCTTGGGCATTCTTTTTTCCAGTCGGCTGCTAGGGACATCCCCGTTGTGTGGGATAATAACGGTACGAGGCCTCGGTCCTTCGAATATCGGAACGATCCGGCTAGGGGAGCTGAGGAGGCAAGGGGGAACCGATGAGGTTCTGTTCTTATTAGCAGGAGCTGTACAACACCCTCCAGGTGCTTGATGCGCGATTCATAGCTGTCAGATCTTGGGTCCGAGGGCCTCAAAAATCTTCCTTTCTGCATGGGTTTGTCGGAAGACAAGTCAATCTAGTGGACTTGGTCGGAAAAGAATGTCCAACGACCGAAAGTCCGTGGTTGGATATCAAGGATTATCGATTGAAGGGGGTAAGTCAATGTTGAGAAAGGGGATGTCGAAAAGTCAGAAGTAGAGGGAGGCACGATAATGAATTTTCAAAAAAATTCTGCCCGTGTTGTTTATGGGAACTAGAAAAAAAAAGTGTAAGGACTCCGTCGAGTCCTTCACTGTCTGTCGGAGATAGGCACTAGAGATGAGCTCAGTAGCTCCAGATGGGAAGTTTCTAGTACCAACGTGGATTTATTGCATGTCTAGACAGGAGAGAAAGATCTCTCAGTTAGTATTTACAAGTGGAGGAAATGGAGGAAAGAAAATGAGAAGAGAGGGAAAGAAGATAAGGTACTTACCTAGACAGGAGAGAAAGATCTCTGCTGTCTAGGTAATTAAGGGGAAGAGTGAGACTAAATATAACCCGGGATAGGCTTATGTAAGCTTGTGACAGGTTTGTGTAAGCCTGTGAGGAGCAGGGCTTACAGTTTAATGTCATATTTCTTTGGTCACTATTGTTGTATGGATTCATTCAGTCAAAGAAGTGATGTTTCCCAACATTGATGTCTGTATTTTCATGTTGGAATGTTCACAAATGTTTATCAATTATAACAAGTCAGTATTGTATGGATTCATTCAGCTACAGCAGTTATCTGTCCAAATGCCTGTGTCTAAATGTTAAGAATTTTACAGATGTATGCCAATTTTAACAAAACAAGACATTTGAATCTAAAACATACACTGATCTGTAAGTTTAACTGATATTATAAATGACTCATTTAGATTGCTTTGATCACATCACATGAATCCACAATGCACAAACATGTAATAATTTTGAACAACATGAAGACAGACAAATTATAAAATAATAAACAGTAGGTCAACTGAAAGGAATACATATCTCTGAATGGACTAATTCATCATGTATTGTGGGGGAATGATGGCAAGGCAACTGAATCATGAGAGGGTTGTTGGATGTTGCAATGACAATAATTACCAATTTGAAGTGATCCAAGTGAAAGGAGTAGGTCAGGCCAAATAAGCAACAGCCATTACTGGTATTTCCAGGATTGTAATTTTATTGTAGAGTACAGTGGCTATTTGAGGGAGCCAGGCAGGAAATTACCAAAAACTATCAGTCCTGAGCTTCACTTTAATAAAAGCCACAAAGACAAAAGAATGATTTCACTTGGAAGCTCAGTTGTCATTGTTCAGCTGAGGTGCATTTTACAAGTGCTCAATGCAAATGCAACAATAGGGGTGTTCAATTAATTATAATCATTGGGACATGTTTTCTGGTTAGAATTATTTGATGTAATACAGTATTCCTTAAAATTTTAATCTATTGCATGCATGCATGTAATATTCCATCAGTTGATAAAATGGGTGCTGCCTGTCAGTGATAATGTATGCATCAAACAGGTTTCATTATTAAGGTATGCAACAAAGACATAAGACATATCACACAAGACCTTTGAACACTCATGTCATTTTTGATTTTGAAGTAAGGGGGCAATCACCTTGGCCACACATGCATTTTCTAAAATTATAAATCTGTGTTTATGAATGAATTCAGGAGAGTTATAAAATGTAATTGATTAAAATGTTCTGGTACAAAGATGTAATTACTTGAATATTTTGGGCTCCAAGACATAATCACTTTGAATTGATCTGGCAGGCACCAGTTAATGATTACTACAAAGATATAATTAATTGAAACAAAATTTTAATTATTTGAACTGTTCTGTCACAAAGTTGAAGATATAATTACTTGAGAACAGCACTTGAAGATATATGAAGAATAGCACTTTGGTGAAATTACTCAAGAATCACACTTTTGAAATCATTTTGCAGCTAAAGAAAAAATCTATCATGTGAGGGAGAGACACAAATTAGTTGATTTGAAGGTTACCTTCAAACATCCCACTGAGTTCATCTGCCTCTAGTGCCCCCTCAAAATGATCCATCAGATTTGACCATTATTAGAGTCACTAGGCATATTCTCTGGTAGGGTGAGGGGCTCAATGTTGGTTTGATCGTCCTCTTGTTGATTTGTAGGAGCAGCACTAAAATCAAAGTCTTGGGCCAGAAAATCACGCATTACTGATTCATCAATGTTGTCTAAGTTGTTACCAATGGCGTTGTCAAAGTCCCCGGAAACCTTAGATAAGTTACCACTTTGCTTCAAAAAGGACAAGCGGAGTACCTGTTCGTTCCAATCTCTGAAGAGTTCAGTGTCATTTTCGTAAGGACCCGTGTTGAAAATGATGTGCTCAACATTTTTATTCCAATTGAGCTGCAGGGTGGATAGATTGATGAAGTGGTTGTGTAGAATTGCTTTCATGAAATCTAGTTGATCTTCAGTTGAAAGGGTTTGAAGAATTGGGTGTGTTAGTGCTGTCCGAAGTCGAGTTTTCACCAATTCAGACTGTGTGGCTAGTCCAAACATAAGTGGAATGATCCTCTGATGCTCTATCACAGCCCAACGTACTGCCCGGCGCATCTCTCGACCAATTCGACAAGTCTCTTCGCGTGCTCTCTGTTGGCGGGCAACAAGTCGCATACCATCTTGAGTGTCGGGATCAATGGCCCAGGGCTCGTCATTGTTAGTGAAAACACCATCCATCCAAAATATATCGTCCGGTTCCATTTGAAGTATGGTATCATAAACCGCTTCCTGCAGGATAGGCCGATTGGGAAAAGCAATATGGAAAGCAGAAAGATGTCGGTTGTAAGTGTTGACAACAGCTTCAAGGGCAAATGTTTTCTTTCGAATCGAATTTATCAGTTTTTCTTTCCCAGCAGTGCCTGATTGGGGGAAAAGGCACAAGGAGGCTTTGTTCAGCAACTTATTCCACACAGAAGGCAACATGGACAACTATCTGACCTAGCTTTGAAGCAGTGCCCATTCGTACTGCATCAAGAGGTCGCTTCTCCTCAAGGAGAGCCAGGTATTTTCGCCTCAGGTCTGTTTTGGCCCACCAGACTTTCAAGAATAAAGTCTCGTGGGAACGGCTGACCCCTTCAACAACTTGATTAGCTCCAACCCTTTGCCGCTGCTGCTCAATTTGAGCCTGAATATCACTGATTGTATTAACTCTTGCCAGTGTATCCTCAGGGGTCAAGGGAAGATTGCCCCTGTAAGATTTCACAAAAATTAAATGTCAATTCAATTCATGAAGATTGTCATTGGGCAACTCACCAAGCAGCATTTAGGTCTTCTTCTAAATTGAGCAAACGTCCAAGTTCCAATTTCTGCTGTGCTTTTTCATTGTTTCGGTTTTGATAATAGGAGCGCTCAAGGATCCACTGCTGCTGGAAAAAATCCTGTGTGTAATTCTCACCCCCCTCGGAAAATGGGTTGGTTTGATTGCAGATGCTATTAAGTTTGGCTGTACATTCAATTATCAAATTGTGTGCTTGATCAAGATGTCGATTCATCCAGTCGCCTGCATTGAAAAAAATCACATTGGGGCCTGCTAGAATCCAATGAAGCAAGAGATTTGATTAAAAAGCTTACAAATGGAAAGTTTCAGCTTCTCATTATAGTAGTCACACTGTCTTCCAATGGCTTGGAGGCGGTGAATGCGAGTTGCGTTCCTCAGAGGTCCCACCATATCAGATAATTGAGACCAAAGACGCTCCATCCCTTCGCCATCAGACAGGCCCCAGTTGGAGTTATACCTCGGATTATATTTTATCTGGCAGTCCCAGTTGTGTACGTAAGCATGGAACACCGATGTACCAAAATACACTCGATCAAGGTCATTTCCCAACAGGTCACGCTGTGTTACCACAATTAAATGCAAGATTTGATTTAGATGTGTTCAAGAGGTTACCAGGAATAATTACAATTTCATAAGCTCACCTTTTTTACATGTGCATCCAAGTGGCAACCAATATCATAGAGTATGCCAAATTTTTTGGTAGGGAAGGCCTTGAGAATATTGTCAATGATACTAACAGGGTAGTAGAGCCTGTTCAAGAGAGGAAAATATCTGAGCCTTTTTAACAAGCTTATTTCAAGATATTAATTCAGCTTACTTCTCACCCCCATGCTGAATGTTATTGAGTTTGAGGGGGATATCATGCCGACAGCAGCTACCAAATAGACCCGTATCATCAAATTTGTCCCAGGATGCAGAATTTCGTACATCGTTTGCAGCCTTGTGGGCATCCGAGCATGACGTCTATAATGAAGTAAATTGATTCAGCATGGTTTATGAAAAAATGGGATGGATTTGGCTTACCCTAAGCTCCGTTACAGCTTGGTCAGTTGATTGACATTGAGCCTCATGAGTGTTGATTTCAGACGGTGGTATGAAGTTAGAAGGGTAATCGGCTTCAGTGGGGACATCAGTACTTGCAAACTTGTGGTGCCGATGTTGAAAGTTGCCATCCATTGCGATTATTGCATATGCTTCGCCAATCCCAGGCAAACTCTCTTCATCTGGCTTTTCAGGTCCAAAACATGCAGGGCACTTTGTTGCCCAATGGTCCTGAGTTGTCAGGCCAAGAGAAACTGTAATAAGGTCCTTGTGAAGTGTTTGGATTCTGCCGTAGATGTCCATTGCTTGAGAGAAGGGAATTCGCAAGTCACGTGGGTTGTGGTTTCGGCTTCGAGCATACATGCTTTCCCTTGATCGGGTATCTTGATGGTACATGATGCCACTGATAAATGAGGTGTAGGGAATTGCGGACTCGTTCCATAAATGCTGGTAGAGCTGAACAAGGGGGACAGAGAAAGCAGTGCGGGGTGTTGTGGGAGAAGCAGGAATGTATCCAAGGTGGATCAAGCGAATGGCGTCGGGAATGCAAGAGCAAAATTCAATTTCTTGACGATGAAAGCGATCTAGACAGTAATCATGAATAGCTTGGTTAGTGTTTTTGGTTTTGTTATGTGTAGAGCTGGTTGGTGCTATTGGGGTACAGACCATGTGTATGTATCAAATCAACTGATCGCTTCCGGGTATTAGGACAGTCACATTCATCTAACGGTTCCAGGTAAGTTGTTGAAGCAGTCCAGTTTTTAGTGTGGTACTGGCAAACAAAGAAGGCCGCTGTGATGGATTTTTCAATTGATTTCCAGGCATTCGAAAGTCGATCTCTTCTCATGGCATACTGGGTGATGAAATCGTCTGGAAGGGGCGAGTCCTGATGTAGAGGTGGTTCATGTTGGTGGAAATGGTCCGCAGAGTATTCATCCTGAGGTGACATATTGGGCTCCCGATCATCCACTCGATTTTGACGGGGATCAATGACGAGTAGTCCATGTCTCAAGGCCATAGCTATCGCAGCATTCAAGTCAACAGGCCGACCAGAGGTACCGCTGCGAGGTTGTCGTACAATTGTGGGGCCTCGTCGTTGGATAAATCCAGTTTGCGTTCGAGCCATGACAAAAACTGTATCAAACTGTAGGGGATGGGAAATGTTGAGGTCAGTAACAGAAAGATTGAGCTGATGATTAGACAGGCAGGACAACAGTACAAATACCAACGGCTGAGCTCCTCCTTTCGGGAAGACTGGTACAAGTGGACCGGAAGTGGCAATAACGTGACGAGATGGAGTGAAGAGGAGGGGAATCGAACAGGGGTTGGTCTTGAATGCCAATCCAAGCTTCAAGTCGCGCTCAGGTGAGTTTTCAGCACTGAGATTTCTGAGAAGCCTCGAGAAAAGATGAGAGAAACTGAGAGCGCGGAGCTACTACTGTATAGGTCCTTCTGTGTCTCAGTGGATACTATCCAGTAGTTGAATAGGTGTCGCCATGGGTGGGGGGGGTTGATGTGTAACCATGATGTATCACCAGAGTGTGGTGGAGCTGCTGGCACGAACCATGGCAACTACCACCTAAAAAACCTTACAGCCACAAGGGTCTGTAGCCTAGTTGGTAAAGGAAGCACTCTGGTATGTGACTCAGCATTGATGAGGTTGTGAGTTCAAATCTCACCAGGCACATCCTCTGTTTGTTTGTCTCTACATCTTGTGCTGTTCATTTTCTGCGGGATTGTGTGTGATCATAGGACATTGAAAATTGTCACTATGGACCTCGGCCGTATCAGTTATATGGACAGTTAACACAACTTTTCCATTGAAAGCAGAAAGCAGAGGAAGAGGGATCAAGAGCATAAATTCTCACTTGACATGTCAATTTCTCCTACTGTAGCGTAGCGTAATTAGGCATGTAGTGTAGTGTACACCAGGGGAGTTTGCTCAGCACCTGCTTTCAAGTGCCATCAGTGAACTCGGTCATAGATCTGGTTGGAAGCTTGTTACAACACATGTTGATATGTACGGAAGATATGTACCACAACCTGGTTACAAGACATGTTGATGTGTACCACAACTTCTATTGGATATATCATAGAATACATGTGTAGAATGTACCCCAGACCTATGCTGAAACCAAGTTCAACTTGACAGCAAACAGTGCTTTATCCCAAGCTTTGACCAAGCTTGCAGTATCTTGACCGATATGATTTCCCACCTGGTTGTGAGGCACTATCTCGGTAAGATACTCTGAATTTTTTTTTTTCAAGAGCCCACTAGATACGAGAAAGCTTGTGAGTTAAACCAGCCCTCGCCAATGCCTATATCATGTGATTGTCATGTACACACAACCTTCATAGTTAGTGGCTACCAGACCTCCTAACCTTTTGGTAATGTCTATATACTAAAGAGTATGATAATTGAAAGCCAAATGATGAACTCATTCCATTGGATTGATCTGTGGACCAAATGTAGCAGTTGGCCGATTGGCCAAACCAATCCAACAGGTGCTGGAGTTTGTTTACCGAACTTTCCAGCTTACATGACTATATCATGCAATGCCCTGCAGCAAATGTGAGTGAGTTAAAATAAGCACCAAAGGCTGTGTTTTGTGAGTTGTTGTAAAGGGTGTTTCCGAAAAACTTTCCAAATTCTAGATAAGAGAAAGGTAACAAATACAACCATCCCATCCTTATTCCAACCCCCACATCCTTCACAACCTCAAATCGGTCTACTGATTTTTCTATCCAACATGTCAAACACACTATGCCTGGGTCAATTTGTCACACGTCTACATTCTCCTACCTCAGATTCCCTCCCTGATCACCCACAACAGGCCTTCCTACAACGAGGAACAGATCGAGTGCATGTGTGGTGTTACCCAAGACGATTGGTTGGAGATCTCAGTGAAGTTCAAAGCAAGTTCCTTGGTCCATTGTTAGGTCGGGTGGGCAGCTGCTCAACACCAATAACAGAAGAAGGAATGATCTCTTCTGAAAAATCCCTGATAAAGATTCGAGCTTTCCTTGTTACCAAAACCTGTAATGATCCTCAACTGAGGGGATGCATATTTGGTCTTGACTCAAACAAGGCCACTATTTCATCAGCTTTCTCTCGGGCACAAATCAATCTCTCTCCCATCTGGAACTACAATCCCAGCCTCTTTTTCAATATCCCCCAAACATCGTTTACACCAACCCTCACCAGCACGCCAGAAGAGGATGATTCTTTTCGGTCTACTCTCAAAAACTGTGTAACCACCTTGAAAGACCACCAATACACAGCTCTAAATTTCCTCAAGAGAAACGAGTCTACCCAACAAAACACAATTGAAGACTTGTGGAACCACCCCATCAATAGTTGGATACGACGATGTAGTAACCCTTCTGAACTACGACTTGACGAAACAGACCAATTTACTAGCCGAGGATCCATACTTGCTGATGACATGGGCTTAGGAAAAACGTTAACCAGCCTTGCGTTAGTTCTGGCAACATCTCATTTGGCAAACCGATTCCAGATGAGCGGTTCCGACAACCATCTAGTTTGATCTTCAGCCACTCTGATTATTTGTCCGTTAGCAACCTTGTCAAACTGGGAAAATGAGATCAAGATTCACTTTGACGGGGGAGCCTTACCTTACTGTATCTTTCATGGAAGAGACCGAGGAAGAATTGACAGAGGATCGCTATTGTCATCGCTTGTTGTTTTGACAACCTACGAGATGGTTGGAACATCTGGAAACCCACTGCATACCAATCAAATAACCATTGAATCCCTGGATATCTGTTGGTTCAGAATTGTATTGGATGAGGCTCAGTAAGTAACAATAACCTGGTGCATGTATTGAGTTATCAGTTAATAACGAGTCTGACATTACAAATCATGTAGTATGATTCGTAACCCAACAGCCAACAGGACTTTGAACATTCAAAAGCTGAAGTCAAGATTTATCTTATGCCTGACGGGAACCCCATTCCAGAATCGACTCACCGATGTCCAAAGCTTGATATTTCTATTGAAGATTTGGCCTTGGAACCAGGAGTGGATCTGGAAGTCACACCTTATACCTGGAATTAACGTTGGATCCCAAGAAGCCATTCAGACGTTGAACCGCTTAATGGAAACTGTATGCTTGAGGAGGACGAAGGATGTGCTCTTGAATTTGCCTTCCAAGATAGAAAACGTGGTTGTTGTGAGCTTGGGTGGCCCATGGGATGATTTCTCAAGAGGGTTTCACCAATCATTCATTCAGTACTTTGGACGGCTTCGATCATCTGGCGAGCCATGGGATTCGACTGAATTTTTCAAACAGCTGACAATGATACGGCAGTTCTGCAATCATCCGATTTTTGCACGTGACGAAATTCCTCACCAAAAGAACTGGCGATGGCAAGACTCCGCAAAACTGGTCCATCTTGTGGATAACCTGGAGCGATTCTTGCGGGGTGGAAGGGGGATTTTAAGGCCCAAAGCAGTAGTATTCTCGAGCTTTGTGGCTTTTCTTGAGATGTGAGTGATATTCTTCATTGGAGATTTTGTCAAAGAGGCTAAATAAAGACTGATGAGGTATGGCATGATGAAGAATTGAAAAGGCACTCAAAGAGAAACAAATGGGTTGCACATGGCTTATAGGGACCTTAGGTATAGCAAAACGAGATGAGAACCTGGCTAGATTTCGAACAGATCTCAACTGCAACATTCTTCTAGGCTCAATACAAGCGGCGGGGGTAGGAATTGATTTGAGGTGTGCACAAAATGTGTACATGATGGTAAGGAGGAATCATTTCTTCTGTGTAACTGAATATGCTGATAAGAATTTTGATGTTCAAGGAACCGAATTGGAATCCGGCCATGGAAAATCAAGCTGTAGATCGTCTCTATCGCCTTGGACAGACAAACGAGGTTCATGTCTACCGATACTATGTGCAAGGCAGTCTGGAAATGAATATACATCAGGTAAAAAGTAGGAAAGGGGAATTGGCAATGTAAGAATTCAATGGTCTCTCTGTATCCATACATGGAGTAGTTGACGTATTCTTTGGGACGTACTTGACTTTGAATTTCAGGCTGAGTGTACCATCGCATGGAAATGAGGATTATGAGTGTGCACAGCTTCTTATGAGTAACATGTTAAATTAGGGTGCAATAAGAAGATGATTTACTTACACGAAACTTTGGTCAAGGACAATAACTTCTGAAAATCTATTGGTGGCTTGGGATTTAGAAGTTTGACATCAAGCTCAGACAAGGTGGCTAGGTATTCTTCTGCATAGCAGTTTCTTGGTAGATTGCGTGGAACATTGCGGAAAGATATTGCGACCGAGGATGTTGAGGTAGCTCGCTTATGTTCAAGACTAAATGAATTGACAAAGTGTAGTCCTTTAGTATTGTGGGTTTTGTGGATCTTGATCTCGTCCAGTTGACGGGCCAGGGTGTTGAACTCTTCTGAACGCCAAGGGAGGGGAATTTGCCTGACTGTTTTGCCTGGGGTGGCTTTGGTCTTGGAGCAACACTTGATGTTATCAAAGAGTTCCATCTCGGTTAGGGATACAGACAGTTTTGAGAGGGTCTCCTGTCTATGCTTCTGCAGCTGAAAATCAGGATGATGTTTTTCTTCAGTAATAGCCCAGATGAAGTTGACTTTTGAGAAAATTCTTACTTGTAATCGTAATTTGGATTTCTTTTCAGACTTCTTCTTTTCATTCCTACGTTCAGCAGAGAAATGTCCCAACCGAAGACCATCCTTCCGTCCCAGAAACCATCGGTGTAGAATACCAGTGCGTATGATCTCTTCAGAAGTTTCTGTAGGATCAAGGTGGAAAGCTTTGAATGCCCCAGACTTGAAAGCGTGATTCCAGTGTTTGAGGAGAAATTTCGAGAGCAGTTGATTCCACTTGCTTTCCCAGGCTTGGTCCCAGGCAAAGGTCCAACCAGGGAACTTTGAATTTTTGAGGTCTTGAAGAAATATTACTCGATAGAGTGGAGGAATTTTTTCCGAAACTGGTTTATGGGCTGTGGGGGGGATGGGATCGATTGGATGCAGTAGAATGGAGTCGGGAAGTGAGGAGGCGATATTCAGCTGGTCTTGTGAGGGAGTCTCCTTCCATTTGTCCGATGGTATTTTG